ATATATTAAGGTAAATTATAGACAGATATAATACAAACGGAAAGTGATTATAAGCTGACAGAGAGGGAGGAAGATGAATTACCTTAATGGAGCTGATGGAAGGCAAGGCGTTTAACAGGCAGCCACTTGGGTTAGCAGCTCAACGGTACTGTATATTAAAGGTGTACTCCAGGAATATTCTTGAGGGAGATCTATACGGAATTAAATATACGAGTATGTGAATATTTATTTGTCAGAGGTTGAGTTATGTAACATGAATGTTGTAACAGTAATAAATTTATTGGCTCGGTATTCAACATATATTCTCTGCGTTCTAAATTGTTAAAAACTGAAAAGTAAATATTGCCTACAGTCAATACACAATCAATTCACAAATGCTCTTTCTTGGCCCCTGGTTGAGTTCTTACTGACCTCGTTCCCCTTTGAATAAGTGATCTTGAATGTTTTCAGAGGTGAATTCTGAGAAATAAATTCATCCCCAACTTGCACAAAAACATACGCATGCTGTTTCCTTTGCATGGCCAGGAGGGAAAATACCTTCATGACTTCTTCAGCATTGTTACGTGGCATTTCTCAGGGATTGTATGTAATTTGTACACCTGTGTATACAAGAAGACAGATCAGTTGTAAATATGTACGTTAACAACAACAATAAATAAGGCAGTATATGGTACCTGAACATTTCCAGTCAGCTAAATATTGTCCCAGAAAATAGTCCATTAGGGATATAAAGAACACAAGTTATGCATAATTAGATAATATTTTTGCTGCACACCAGCACGAGGACGGTGATAAATATTGATGCTGAAATCGCCAAATTATCATCAGGGGCGAAAATGGCAGTCACAAATTAATTCGTAATTGTTTTTTGCCAGGTAGTGGGAATCACTTATACAGACATTTACATCCTTGCTACGGCAAAATAAACTCTGATCATTTTTATTGCAAAACTTTTAATCTACCTCTAGTGATGTTAAAGTCGTGTACACACACACACACACACACACACACACAACCCATGCCAGTTACTACTTTCAACATTCTAGTAAAAACAAACTTCATATCATCGTGGAGGGAAAATAGTGAAGATGTTTTAATAAACACAAGAAATAAATGTACAGTATATATCAGGTGCCTTTAAGAGAGCTCAGGTTCTCAACTGGCTCAACCATGCCAATATTGTTATTTTTATCCACTCTGCATCCTTATTTTTATGGCTAAATAAATTATTTCATTATTAATATTGTACCATAGAAGGGTCTCACTTCCATTTATATACACTGCTTTGTCACCTTTATCTGCACGGCTTACTTCTCACTACCCAAACCACTAGTTAACCAGCAGTCAACTAGTAAGAACACGAATCCTGAGATGGCTCCTGATTGGTGGAAAAACATCGTCGGCTGTTGGGGGCGCCATCTATGACAGGTGATGTCAACCTTAACCCTGGGATACCAAGTCAGTCCTACTCCCACCACCTCGGCTTTTTTTTTCTTTTTTTTCTTTTTTTTACGGGGATTAGCCCACCCGACCCACATCGGGGCCTAGGGGGCGAAAATGTAATAATAATAATAATAATAATAATAATAATAATAATAATTCAGATAAGTAAATTAAAAATAAAATACACACTGCCTGTGCACCTCGGGATCTACTGGCCAGTTTATTGTAACGTGTATTAGTACAGCTGAGTACACTATTTTTCACCCTTGTATATGTGTTTTGTGTTGATTTTGTTTTAAGAATATTATATAAAAATCAGTTGCATATTTTTCACGTCCTACTGTCTATACTGTGTTGGGTGCTGTCGTGTCATGCCAAATATTCTATTAAGCCAAGTAATGCTATAATAACTAAACCTACAGTAAAACTTAATAACTAAAAAAGCTCACCATACAGATTGTCATTTGTTACGTAATTGGGTATGAGTATTACAAGGTATTATAATTAAATGATTTTACTCCAAAAGCTCCGAGACGCACACAGGTAAAGAAACCATTTTCATTTTGAGATTAAAATAAAGTAAAAGGTAAAGTAAAGGAACTTAAGACACTTGCCTTCTTAGCTGCTCAGTTTCCGTAACAATATCAATATTGTGTGTAAAACTATTACTAATTTTAAAGAGTCGATGAGTATCATTAAGAGTCAGTGGGGATGTTATAACCAGTTTTTAAGTGAAAGAAGAGTGTGATCATATTCAAGACCTTAAGGATGTAAATTGCGTTTTACACTTATTTTTTTTTTACATTAAATCTTTTAGTGGGAAGGTGTCCCAGATAGGATGAAACACATTGATTAAATTATTGTTGTAAGAGAGTTAGATGTTTCAACTGCTCATCACCCCAGGCATTGATCAATGGTCTAGGTTCTGCAACTGTCAACTTCTTAAATATTATAAAACAAATTGAAAAGCATCTCTGTGGTCTTGTGTTACATGTACTGGACTGGCCGCCAAGTGTGTTGTTGTTGGCCTTTATTCTGAGTCCCTCGCTTCACCTGTAAGATTCTGCCGGGAATATAATCATAGTTTCCCCACCCCCCTCCCCCTCATTTGTATTTAATTTGTTTTAATTAAAACAGTTGATTAGTTGGATATGTAAATGGTAGAATCATTGTGAGATAATAGTGCACGAAATTTAAAATGTATGACTTTGATAAAAAATCAGTCATGCCCTCCTGATCAACTGGGTTCTTTTGAAAAAAAGATAATTTTCAATTATAGTCTTGTCGTCTTTTTGTAGGTCGGGCAGACGGAGCTTTCTCCTCTCACTCGTGGTATCCAACGAGCGAGATGGTCATTTGGTAGACTGTGTTGATATAGAGGGCGTTACTGGAGTCTACCAATAGGCTTCCTGCTTGTCAACAGTTTTCATTGTCTTTTAAATAATTTATATTGTATTTAATGTATTTAATCTAGAATTAATATCTTGTGAATCTTTGATACTCGAGACACTTAAGCCGACCGACCAGTGTACTGTATATTATATGGCTCGTGTGGCTGTGTACCGTGTGTCAGCGTCGACTGTGAATTTACATCAATTAATGGTATGTCGGCCGTTCACCTACACGGGCTACAGTACCCTCGCCCAGTAGAGATAGGCATATGTTCATTGTAGAACTGATTATTTGTAAAGTACATTATAATAAATTTACCCCATACAAGCTGCAGCATATATATCTTTTCAGTCTGACTTCCATATGAGGAAGTTCTATGGCAACATAAATAGCCACACCATAGAGGTTATCTCTTCTGTGTGACGAGTAGGCTTCTAGAACTGGCGAAACCGGAGAGGTCTGAAAATTATAGGAGTCCTCTAGTTTGTCCTCGAGCAGACAAATGCTGGTGGCCGGTATATTTAATTGCTCAGGTTGGCCGTCAGACCAAATGTCGTCAGTCCAAACCACTCCATTATTCACTATCTCTTGCCTCCTTCATTCATTTCTGTTGATCAATTAATCAAGAACCTTGCACTTCGCTCACAAAGTTATCATTCCATCTTTCTTATTTTCACATCCAAGAGGCCTCCATTTTCATTTACCTTTCTTGATATTCTGTTATCCTTCCCCACCACATGTCTAGCTGATATCTTTGTTTACGTTCTTATAAAACAGGTTTTCTGTGATTGAGTGTATAATTTCTTCTGTACTTATTGTCTCTATATCAAATATATATCTTACACAGGTTCTGATCTAGTTATTCGCAGACACATGTAACCACTGATCTTGTCAAGCTATTGTATACTTTCAACTAATTGTTCCTGAAATCTTGTGGTTTTTCTTTCTTAAATTGAAAATACACAACTCTTGAATCCTAGCATCTATTACTTTTAATGTTTAGACTAAGTAACACTTTGTACAGTATGTTAAGGTTGTTCAGCCGGACATATTGTAATGCTGGGTCTTTTTTTTTTTTTATTCTCACCACTTTATTCTGGTATGGTTCACCTTCAGTCATCACTCTGCCGTTAGCTTTAAGGGGCGGATAATATATCCCTCTCCCTCAATATCATCGGCCATCAAATCTACATCGTCAGTATTGGCTGAGCTTATGATCCTTACATCTTGGAGTTTTATTTCTTCCTCTGTGTTTTATATTTATTGATAACCTTCTTCTAGTACGGAACTGAAGAGTCTGTAAATAAAAGACACCTCTCTTGTAATGTTAAAAAACAAAAAAAAAGGTTTGGTCTCTGACTGTACTTAAACGCCACTGGTTGAGTAATATGTTATCATTGCCACCAGCCTCTTAAGTATGCCACGAACCTCCAGTATCTAAACAGAGAACACTGATGTGCGCTACCTCAACTAAACATATCACGACTCAACCATATTATCAGTATTTCTACAACAGTTGTTAATGGCAAAAATCTGATCAATCGTTTATATACTTTTCCGAAAACCAACTTGATATTGATTCTGGAGTCCGTTAAAGGTTCCCATCTCTTGAGGGTTATTTTTGTTAATGTTTTATTAATTATTGGTGTTAGGAAGCTTCCTCTGTCAGTATTACAACACAGTCTATGGTAGATTTATATATCCCCTTCCCCATCCTTTCGTTATCTCTACTTCCCAAACTCTTTTAATCGTCTCTAAGCTTATCATTGTTTTAAAGTTCTTCAGATGTGTAAATTGTTTTATACGGTAGTACTGTACTTCGTTCCTAGCATTCTACTGGATAATATTTACTTTCTTTATTCAGTGTGTTGTCTCATATGAGAATTTATTAATTTTCTTCATGTTTTACAAGGAAAATTGGATGTAGGAAGAATGGCTTCCCCGTAAAGTGTTACTCTTTTCTTCATAGGACTCTACCTTGATGGTAAATCTAAAAAAATGTGAGAGGTTCTTGGTAAGAATGTGTCGCTCATAGTAACGAATGTTCATACACTTGCGTGCATAAGTCTCATCTTGATCTTTACCAAGTTCACTTTCACTGTTAGAACTCAAGCTGCTTTACTAGTGCTAGTAAGGTAACCTTTTGGTAGTGAGTGTTGACCAAAATGCTTATTATGGTATAATAGTTAATACATGTGTAAAAGAGGAAAATATTTATTCTAGAAATATATTTTGTAATATAATACGTACACATTACAAACGATGTTTATCATTGTTTGTAATGTGTATATTTCATGTGTCTGTATTATATAATGTGATAAATAGATTAATATAATTCATCGCTAGCCTAGAGATAAATTTGTTTCAGTGGTACAATTAGAAACATGGGAGATGAAATATAATTACTCCCCAGTACGTCATCTCGACCACAGACCTACTCCCAGTACGTCATCTCGACCACAGAACTACTCCCAGTACGTCATCTCGACCACAGACCTACTCCCAGTACGTCATCTCGACCACAGACCTACTCCCAGTACGTCATCTCGACCACAGAACTACTTCCAGTACGTCATCTCGACCACAGACCTACTTCCAGTACGTCATCTCGACCACAGACCTAGTACGTCATCTCGACCACAGACCTACGTCATCTCGACCACAGACTACTCCCAGTACGTCATCTCGACCACAGACCTACTCCCAGTACGTCATCTCGACCACAGACCTACTCCCAGTACGTCATCTCGACCACAGAACTACTTCCAGTACGTCATCTCGACCACAGACCTACTTCCAGTACGTCATCTCGACCACAGACCTACTTCCAGTACGTCATCTCGACCACAGACCTACTTCCAGTACGTCATCTCGACCACAGACCTACTTCCAGTACGTCATCTCGACCACAGAACTACTCCCAGTACGTCATCTCGACCACAGACCTACTCCCAGTACGTCATCTCGACCACAGAACTACTCCCAGTACGTCATCTCGACCACAGACCTACTCCCAGTACGTCATCCCCAGTACAACGCCCCAGCATGCCCCAGCAACAGAACTACTCCCATCTCTGACCACAACTACCCCAGTACGTCATTCAGGCACAGAACTACTTCCAGTATGTCATCTCAGGCACAGAACTACCCCAGTGGTCAGTCTCAGGCACGAACCACTCCCCAATACGTCATCTCTGACCACAGAACTACTCCCAGTACGTCATCCAGGCACAGAACTACCCCAGCACACGTCATCTCAGGCACAGAACTACTCCCAGTACGTCATCTCGACCAGAACTACTCCCAGTACGCCATCTCAGGCACAGAACTACTCCCAGTACGTCTCCAGGCACAGAACTACTTCCCCAGTACGTCATCTGACCACAGAACTACTCCCAGTACGTCATCTCAGGCACAGAACTACCCCCAGTACGTCATCATCTCAGCAAGGCCAGAATCCACTCCCAGCACGTCATCTTCCGACCAGAAACCACTCCCCAGCACGTCATCTCAGGCACAGAACTACCCAGTACGTCATCTTGATTCACAGTGGAACTACTCCCAGTATGTCATCCTGCAAGTACAGAACTACTCCCAGTATGTCATCTGCAACAGAACTACTCCCAGTACGTCATCTCACAGGACAGAACTACTCCCAGTATGTCATCTCAGGTAATAAGAACTACTCCCAGTACGTCATTCAGGTAAGAAACCATCTTAGCACGTCATTTCAGGCACAGAACTACTCCCCAGTATAATATCTAGCCAGGAACGACTCCAGTACGTCATCTCGACCACACAGAACGTACCCCAGTACGTCATCTCAGGCACAGAACTACCCCAGTACGTCATCTCAGGCACAGGAACCATTTCCCCAGTACGTCATTCCTGTACAGAACTACTCCCAGTACGTCATCTCGACCACAGAACTACTCCCCAGTACGTCATCTCTGGCACAGAACTACTCCCAGTACGTCATCTCCCCAGGCACAGAACTACTCCCAGTACGTCATCTGACCACACACAACTACTCCCAGTACGTCATCTCAGGCACAGAACTACTTCCAGTACGTCATCTCATAACCATCTCCCAGTATGTCATCTCAGGCACAGAACCGCTCCCCAGTACGTCATCTAGACCACAGAACTACTCCCAGTACGTCATCTCTGCGGCACAGAACTACTTCCAGTACGTCATCTCGACCAGCAGAAACGTACTCCCCAGTACGTCATCCAGGCACAGAACTACTCCCAGTACGTCATCTCAGGCACAGAACTACTCCCAGTACGTCATCTCGACCACACAACTACTCCCAGTACGTCATCTCTGAAAACGGAACTACTTCCAGTACGTCATCTCAGGCACAGAACTACCCAGTATGTCATCTCAGGCAGAATCACTTCCCAGTACGTCATCTCGACCAGAACTACTCCCAGTACGTCATCTTCAGCACAGAAACCATTTCCAGTACGTCATCTCGACCACAGAACTACTCCCCAGTACGTCATCTTCAGGGCACAGAACTACTCCCCAGTACGTCATTCAGGCACAGAACTACTCCCCAGTACGTCATCTCGACCACACAATCACATTCCCCAGTACGTCATCTCAGGCACAGAACTACTTCCAGTGCACAAGTCACCCCAGCACAGAACCTTACTCCCAGAGCGTGTCATCTCAGGCACAGAACTACTCCCAGTACGTCATCTCGACCACAGAACTACTCCCAGCAATGTTATCTTCGACCACAGAACTACTCCCAGTACGTCATCTCGACCACAGAACTACTCCCCAGCACAGTCATCTCGACCACAGAACCATTCCCAGTACGTCATCCGACCACAGAACTACTCCCAGTACGTCATCTGACCACAGACCTACTCCCTAGCACAAATATCTCGACCACAGAACTACTCCCAGTACGTCATCTCGACCACAGAACCACTCCCAGCACGTCATCTCGACCACAGAACTATTCCCAGCATAGTCATCCCCGACCACAGAACTACTCCCAGTACGTCATCTCGACCACAGACCCACTCCCAGTACGTCATCTGACCACAGAACTACTCCCAGTACGTCATCTCAGGCACAGAATCACCCCAGTAACGTCATCTCAGGCACAGAACCAATTCCAGTACGTCATCTCTGACCACAGAACTACCTCCCAGTACGTCATCTCAGGCACAGAACTACTCCCCAGTACGTCATCTCGACCACAGACCTACTTCCAGTACGTGTCATCTCTTGACCACTACTCCCAATACGTCATCTCGACCACAGAATCACCCCAGTACGTCATCTCTGGACCACAGCATACTCCCCAGTACGTCATCTCGACCACAGAACTACTCCCCAGCACAGTCATATTCCCACCACAGACCTACTTCCAGTACACAGTTATCTTGACCACAGACCTGTCACAGTACGGTCCCCTGACCACAGACCTACTCCCCAGTACGTCATCTCAGGCACAGAACCATTTCCCAGTACGTCACACCCACAGACCTACCCAGTGTCATCTCGACCACAGACCTACCTCCTAGCATGTCATTCCTGACTACAGACCCATTTCCAGTACGTCATCTCGACCACAGAACTACTCCCAGTACGTCATCTCAGGCACATAACTACTCCCAGTACGTCATCTCGACCATAGACCTTACTCCCAGTACGTCATCTCAGGCACAGAACTACTCCCAGTACGTCATCTTGAGGCACAGAACTACTCCCAGTACGCTCATCTCGACCACAGAACCACTCCCAGTACGTCATCTCGACCACAGAATCATTTCCAGTACGTCATCTCGACCACAGACCCACTCCCCCAGTACGTCATCTCAGGCACAGAACTACTCCCAGTACGCGTCATCTCGACCACAGAACTACTCCCAGTACGTCATCTCTGACCACAGAACTACTCCCAGTACGTCATCTCTGACCACAGAACTACTCCAGTACGTCATCTCGGACCACAGACCTACTCCCCAGTACGTCATCTCAGGCATTGCAGAACTACCCCCAGTACGTCATCTCGACCACAGAACTACTTCCAGTACGTCATCTCGACCACAGACCTACTCCCCAGCACGTCATCTCAGGCACAGACCCATTCCTGCACAAGGTCAGTCCTCATCTGTAACTACTCCCCACGTCATCTCTGACCACAGAACTACCCCCAGTACGTCATCCGGACCACAAACCACTCCCAGTACGTCATCTCAGGCACAGAACTACTCCCAGTACGTCATCTCGACCACAAACTACTTCCCAGTACGTCATCTCTGACCACAGACCTACTCCCAGTACACGTCATCTCAGGCACAAGACCTACTTCCCCAGTACGTCATCTCGACCACAGAACTACTCCCCAGTACGTCATCTCGACCACAGAACTACTCCCAGTACGTCATTCAGGCACAGACCTACTCCCAGTACGTCACGTCATCTCAGGCACATGAACTACCCCAGTACGTCATCATCTCAGGCACAGAACTACCCCAGTACGTCATCTCGACTCACAGAACCACTTCCCCAGTAATGTCATCTCAGGCACAGAACTAATACTCCCAGTACGTCATCTCGACCACAGACCTACTCCCAGCACGTCATCTCGACCACAGAACTAATACTCCCAGTACGTCATCTCGGACCACAGACCTACTTCCAGTACGTCATCATTCAAGCACAGAACTACTTCCCAGTACGTCATCTGACCACAAAACTACTTCCAGTACGTCATCATCTCGACCACAGTCCTACTCCCAGTAGTCATCTCAGGATCAGACCTACTCCCAGTACGTCATCTCTCGACCACAAACTACTTCCAGTAAGTCATCTCGACCACAGACCTACCTCCCAGTACGTCTTCAGGTACAGAACTACTCCCCAGTACGTCATCTCTGACCACAAAACTACTTCCAGTACGTCATTCACCACAGACTCCATTTCCAGTACGTCATCTGACCACAGACCGACTTCCAGTACGTCATTCCTGACCACAGAGACCTTACCCCCAGTACGTCATCTCGACCACAGAACTATTTCCAGTACGTCATCTCCTGACCACAGAACTACTTCCAGTACGTGTCATCTCGACCATTGAGAACTACTTCCAGTACGTCATCTCGACCACAGACCCACTCCCAGTACGTCATCTCTGACCACAGAACTACTCCCCAGTACGTCATCTCAGGCACAGAACTACTTCCAGTACGTCATCTCGACCACAGAACTACTCCTGGTACGTCATCTCAGGCAGAACTGGCCCAGTACGTCATCTCGACCACAGACCTACCCCAGTACGTCATCTCGATTCACAGACCCACTTCCAGTACGTCATCTCGACCATACAGACCCACTCCCAGTACGTCATCTCGACCACAGAACTATTCTCCAGGCGTCATCCTGACCAGAACTACCCCAGTACGTCATCTCAGGCACAGAACTACTCCCAGTATGTCATCTCGACCACAGAACCAATTCCCCAGTACGTCATCCTCGACCACAGAACTACTCCCCAGTACGTCATCTGACCACAGACCTACTTCCAGTACGTCATCTCAGGCACAGACCTACTCCCAGTACGTCATCTCTGACCACAGACCTACTCCCAGCACGTCATCTCTGACCACAGACTCCACTTCCAGTACGTCATTCCCTGACCACAGAACTACTCCCAGTACGTCATCTCGACCACAGAACTACTTCCAGTACGTCATCTCTGACCACACAGACCTACTCCCCAGTACGTCATCTCTGACCACAGACCTACTTCCAGTACGTCATCTCGGACCACAGACCTACTTCCAGTACGCTATCCGGACCACAGAACTACTCCCAGTACGTCATCCTGACCACAGAACTACTCCCCAGCGTACGTCATCCGACCATGACCATCTCCCAGTGACTATCTGACCACAGAACCACTCCCCAGTACGTCATCTCGACCACAGACCTACTCCCAGTACGTCATCTCGACCACAGACCTACTCCCCAGTACGTCATTCGACCACAGACCTACTTCCAGTACGTCATCTCAGGCACAGAACTACTTCCAGTACGTCATCTCTTTATTCACAGAACTACTCCCAGTGCTGCCGCGCCCCAGGTGTTGCAGTCCATTCCCTAGTACGTCATCTCGACCCACAGAACTACTCCCAGTACGTCATCTCGACCATAGAATCAGCTCCCAGTACGTCATCTCGACCACAGACCTACTTCCCAGTACGTCATTCTCCCTGACCACAGCAACTACTCCCAGTACGTCATCTCAGGCACAGAACTACTCCTAGTACGTCATCTCGACCACAGAACTACTTCCCCAGTACGTCATCTCGACCACAGAACTACTCCCAGTACGTCATCTCGACCACAGACCTACTCCCAGTAATGTCATCTCGACCACAGACCTACCCCAGTACGTCATCTCGACCACAGACCTACTCCCAGTACGTCATCTCGACCACAGAACTACTCCCAGTACGTCATCTCGACCACAGACCTACTCCCAGTACGTCATCTCGACCACAGAACTACTCCCAGTACGTCATCTCGACCACAGACCTACTCCCAGTACGTCATCTCGACCACAGAACTACTCCCAGTACGTCATCTCGACCACAGACCTACTCCCAGTACGTCATCTCAGGCACAGAACTGAACTGGCCCTTTAACCATTAATTCTTGACGAGTTAATGGGGCTGGAACATGTAAAAGTATATAGGGTTTGAGTAGCGAAACCCATCTGTCCTTCTTCTGTTTATTAAGAAAATATATTATATACAGATTCCAAGTGTATATCACCGTAACTTAATCACTGTAGCTATGAGTGTTAAATGAGGACGGAAGCTATAATAAATAGCTCTTCTAAAATACGTCCTGTTGGTGTGAGGTGTTGAGTAAAAGTGCCTGTAATACCCGTCGAGGGAGAACGGTAATATACGTCCTCCCTCGAGGGAAGACGGAACCATCCACGATGGCTCTCAATAACGTCTTCCTTTAGTCAAGGATATCAAACTACTGCCGCATTAGGTGGCCAGAGAGCCGGCTACTCAGTGCCTTAACTCAGCACTAAGTGAAGTGACTCCCCGTGGGCACACCTTATCACGTGCTCTGAACATGCTACCTCATTGCTAGTGGAAAGGTACAGAGGGTGATAGAGTATATAAGTCTAGAGTAATTAACCCATTTATATAAATACTTATGCCTATAAGGCAGGGGCTATTACAGAACTACTCCCCAGTACATCATCTCGGCCCTAGAACCACTCCCCAGTACCTCATCTCGGCCACAGAACTACTCCCCAGTCCCTCATCTCGGCCACAGAACCACTCCCCAGTACCTCATCTCGGCCACAGAACTACTCCCCAGTACCTCATCTCGGCCACAGAACTACTCCCCAGTACCTCATCTCGGCCACAGAACCACTCCCCAGTACCTCATCTCGGCCACAGAACTACTCCCCAGTACTTCATCTCGGCCACAGAACTACTCCCCAGTACTTCATCTCGGCCACAGAACTACTCCCCAGTACCTCATCTCGGCCACAGAACACACAATCATTAGGTAAGCAGACGGGTATAGGTAAGAAATACAACAAAACTATCAATAGAATTCGTCAGTTTAAGGAAAAGGCAAATGAACACAGTGACAATGGATCACGAAGGTCTGACCGCCTGTTAGGGGTAGTGCACATTAGAGACTTTTAGTCCTTTCTTGGTAGACATTGAAGCAGTGTAGCTACCAGTGCACTTAACTGTATTATTTTTTCCTAACCATAAAGTTAGGAGCCCATTCACAACAACTCTAAAAGCTCAACATCCCTAACTGGGTCTCTATTGGCTTCCTCCTTGATATACTGTAGGTCGGATTCCCATTAATGTGACACATACGTTACATACTTCTAAGTAAAAATATACATTGCACGCTCAAGATTAATGTATAAAAAATAATCTAAAAAATACATGTTCTTGGTAAAATACTGATTGAGGGAATACAGATGTTTATAGTAAAGTAACGATACACAATTATAAATATTTCTGGTAATATAAATGCACAAGACACAGAAAACTTCGTAATTTCTCTGGAATAATAAAATTATATTACATTTTACCTTTGACTCTAAGTCAACAGATATTAAACATCGTAATGCAACACTTTGTCGTCATTGATGCATAAGACAATGGTTATCAAGCTTTTGTTTATTACATCTTCAGCTCTGCTTTTTTGTTTCGCAGCCTACAGAGCGTGAATTGTGTGGTGTGTGATGTATAGTTCAGGACGTACACAATAGTTCTAGTAGGGTTCTGCTGTTTGAGGAAATCCATGACCCACTCAGAGTAGATTAGAATTGATGGTCCCTCAAGGCGTGCTCATGGGGTAACCAGTTTAGTTTCAGAGCACTATCCCCACACAGGTTAAGCTGAGTTATAAATTCTGCAAAAGGGCTTGTGAGAAGAAAGAATCAACAGCAGTTTCTGTTATTTGATAATTCATGAGAAGTTTGGGCTGGTAGTCACCAACAGCTTTACTTGAAGTGTATCTTATAAGCTGCACTAATGTTCTTATATTTTTGTGCCCAAGTAAAGGACCGCTTCAGGTTAGGATGTCTCAGTGAAATTCTTTAGTACCTCAACCTTTACGTTGTCGGGTCGTCAGGTTGTATCAAATAAACAAAAACAGAATAGAATTATTCTTTCGTCGGTCACCTTACGAGTCGAACATGTAGTTCCCAATTTTTTCTTCAGAAAGAGCAGCACATTCTCTGTTCGAAACAACTCTTTTGTATATACCGCAATTGTGGAATTATAGCTTAACCGTCAGGGTGTAGAAGATAGGAAATTCAATGCCCATACTTGTCAGTCCTGGGTTTGGTACCATCCCCATTTCATTTACGAGGAGAAAGAGGCCGCCGTTCATGTGTGAAAGATTCAAGTTGCTCTCTCTCTTTCACACGGGGGATGATGATGATGATGGTGATGATGATGATGATGATGATGATGATGAAGGAGTATTACCCGTCATGAGGTGAAGTTAAGATGCTAATGAAACATAACCAAAGTATTTATAAAAGCTATACTTTCAAGGGGTGGGGGTAAGGAGAGAGATAAACCTCTGGAACAATAAACTACGTTGCTTGAGTAAATCGGTAATCTGGCACCTCACCAGATTTCATTTAAGGTCACCAGGTTCACGGTTATGTGCGATTCACAGCTAACGGCCACTGACGGTGCAAGTGCAAGTGTAATCCAGTGTTTACAGCTCGGCTTTTCCCATCCTACTAATGGCTGTCCCTGTGGCTCAAGCAGCAAACTGATCGTAAGAGAGGCTGGCAGAGGCGGAAGATCACAGTAAACCACGAAAGCAACAACTTTTCAGGTTTTACAGTTCACGGCGGTGGCCCTGTGCCTATATATCAGTCCTACCAGCATGCCTATTACGAGAAACCGAAGAACTTTATTTTTTTAAAGAGGATGAAAGATGTATCGAGTGGTGATGCTTCTGTGCTACGGGAAGCTGGAAAACATACAATATACACTTACAGATTTGCATTTTTAGTTGAATTGTTAACTTTTTGTGGAACAGATGAAGTATTTATTTTCCTGCCATAAAACGATATATTTATGAATCATTATGTATCTCCAAGACAGACTTGTCGAGTTCACTTTGGGAGTCTTGAAATTCATTTAGTGTTTAGAAGTTTGTAACTTGAAGAGATGAATATCTACACATTATGCTTTATAGTTTATGAGAGTTTGCTGTATTTAATTTCAAAGTTTGTTCTAGTCACCTTATGATATATTAACAGTGAGCCACCATAGCAGATTTTCCATAAGTAAAACAACGTAAAAGACGAGTTATTTGACTTAATATATGTTAATGGTTGAATACGTCAAGCTTTCTTTTTGTGAAATATAAAAACAATTGAGAGTAACATCACTTTTGTGAAAAAATAATGAAATAGTAGGAAAAATATACCGAAAAAAATGAACAAATTATGAAATATGTTTCACTGGCTTTCTCTGTTTTCTGTCTCGCAATTTTGAAAAATTTCAAAAGCCCTTAATGAACTTTAGGGTCAACTTCGAAAACTTTTCTCAGAGAGAAACCGACTGATGAGTGTCCTGCGTACATATGATACTGCATATAATTCTAAAAATGTTCCGTTGACCACACACACACACACACACACACACGTCAGTGAAGTTGTCAAATCCTCCAGTTTCCGTCTCCACCTCCTCAGCCGACTCAAGTCTCTCGGAGTTCCTGCGCCCGAGCTCCTCAGTGTTTACTCAACATTCATACGTCCCAAGCTCACTATACCTCCCCTGCCTGGTCTTCCTTCCTAAATTCCACACGACGTAAACACCTAGAATAGGTGCAAACGAGGGCATGCAAGATTATTCTCTTTCCCTCCTACTCCACATATCAAGAAGCGCTCAACACACTGACCCTCTTGACTCTCTCTGATCATCGCCACGACCTCGTCTGCAAATTTGGTGAGAAGCTTCTGCACCATCCTCGACACCGGCTTCTACTACCACCCGAGATACCTCATCCGCGAATTGCTGCTCGACACCACAACCTCATCCAGCCCATACAAGACACGTACTGATTGGTATAAGAACAGCCCAGTCCCAACCATTGTAAAAGTTATCAACAACTCGTAATCAACCAGTGAATTCACTCCCAGTCAATCTTACCTTTTGCACTGTCACTATATTGAAATGCCCTGTAGTATTACCTTCTCACAACCTAGTTATTATATATCATATTTGCATCACTTATGTTACTTGTATATTATTTGTCAATCAACTGACCCCTTCCCCAATTATGCAACTGTATATTTTCAGCTTTCCGGCTGCCATGCTCTTTCAATAAACTTTATCTGCGCGCTAATCTTCCACATTATCTGCGCGTTAATGTTCCACATTAGCTCCAGACCTCCCGTAAATTATTTTTATTATTATTATTATTATTATTATTATTATTGTTTTTACTATTATTATTATTACACACACACACTATATATAAATAAATATATATATATATATATATATATATATATATATATATATATGTTTATATATATATATATATATATATATATATATATATATATATATATATATATATATATATATATATATATGTGTGTGTGTGTGTGTGTGTGTGTAATATTCAGAAATTTAAGTGTAATTTCAAACGCCGCGCCATTGGCGATACTGAGTTCAAGGTCGTCTGAGGGAAGACCACACGTAGCGAGAGCTTGTGGAATTGGGCCTATACGATATTAAATGTAATTTACCGAATTAATATGGAGGCGAATTATGAAATGAAATATCAGTTAGTAAATTAAAAATAATTATAGATCGGTTCTCAGTCTGAAAATGTTACGTGTGTCCCAACGAAGCTATTAGTTATGCGGGAAAATATGTCACGTAGGCCTAGGCTTGGGAAAGCCCAAGCCTGGCTGTGTCTCAGTCACGCGGAAGCGATCGGACAGACATGACGTCCCTGCTCGTCCGTCCACAAAAACGGTCACGTGGTCTAGTCACCTGTGTTGCGCTATTGCAGTATAACAAGGTTTCCGTCAGAACCCACTTGACTGCGAGAGATTGACTGCCGTTTGGGACTGCCGTTGATGATTGATGATTAGCGATTGTCACAGTTGGAACTATCAGTGCAGGCTTGTCACTGGTCAGCTGGGTTAGCCAGAGATCTCCATAGTGAAACCAGCTGTCTGGGTGCACAACTGACGATCGTCTGGGGTCGCCAGATCTCTTCTACCTCGGCTCGCAATATCACATATATTCAAGCAGTTAGTGTAAACCTTTTACTACGAGAGGCTAAAGCTTCTCTCCGCTGAACAAGGGCTGATTGGCTCACTCTCTTCCCGCCCATAGATGCACTGAGAGTACACTGAGGCTATCTGAGTAAATTAATGGTCACACACTGAGACCAGGAGTCTAGGGGATACCTAGAGAAACATTTTATCTCCCTTATTATGGGTGTATGTTGAGTTGGGTGAAGCATGGTTCACGGGTATTGGTGGACCCAGTAACTTCTTAATAAGAGTGATAATATTTTTGTGTGTACTAAATATTTCTTAAATACTTTTGATAGTATTGTTTTTTTAACGTTGTGTCACCAATTGATGCCAGAGAATGAGGGAACTTTTTCAGATGAGTTTTCCCCCTTATGTTGTACAGTAAGTGATACTGTGATTTAGTTCCTTTAATGCATTTAATATTTCTTTATAATTTCAATCTCAGGCATAACATTTGTTCCCCAGAGTAGTGTTTAAGTTAGGTTAGGAGGTGTGCATCTGTTGGGGTAATATTATTTTTTTGAGTGCCCTTTAGGCCTATTCAGGGTGGAGTTAATAAGTTCTTATTTTTTTTATACCATTTTCTCAGTGTTTGATATAATTTTGTTGAGTGACCTTAAGGCCTATTCATTGTAGAGTTATTAATTTCCTATTTTTTTAATACCATTTTCTCAGTGATTGATAATATTTTGTTGAAAACTCTTAAGGCCTGCATCTGTTGGTGTAACATAATTCTATTGAGTGCCCTTTAGGTCTTTTCATGGTGGAATTAGCAATTTCTTATTTTTATACCACTTCCGCAGTGGTGGACATTATTTTGTGAAAACCCTTAAGGCCTGTTTCATGTGTGCAAGCAACACTTCTTAATACTTTGAATTT